CTCATAGAGATCTTCTTTCGATACAGCTTGCAGAAAGTGTGTCACGGATTTTACATATCTGTGATGTCTTTGACGGTCGCTGTATTGTGACTTTCGGCTCGAAAATGGATCTGCGTACTTGGTTATCCGTTGTATTCTCCCAATTTGCGGGATTTCTGTTCCCGAGACTCAAGTGCCACTGAAAGCAAGAAGTTTCAATGACACGGAGAAGACATTCAGAAATTCGTGACATACTTTGCAAGTCATTTCAAAGAATTTTTCTGTATATCGTTCTAGTTCTGGTTTGTTGAACATGCCACTCATTATATCGAAATTGAAAAACTAGAAAATATATTTCAAATGAAGTAACAATTTAATTTTAAGCATATTTATTGTAGGTTTTTTTTCGTTAAATAAAGTTAGTCTTATTTGATCATCGGATTGTAGACATATGCCTTGTGGTCACAGAAAGTGTTTCTTCTTTTGCGCGGTATACGTTTTCCATACTGAAAAAGTTGATAACGATGTAATATTATTTTAGTCGTTTTAATTAGCTATACTTGATGATTACGACACCTTTTGTTTCTTCTCTTCATTTCTATTTTACCTTGCGTCTTTATGCATCTTTATGACATCTTCACACGGGTCACTTCTTTTCTAGTTTACGACATCGCTTCCGTTACGTTTCATTTTGCAGCTATGATGCCGCATTCATTTTATATTTCCACGAGTAAATTAAGCAGAATGCAGTTTTGTGCGAATGGATATGTTTTGCACGTTATTCGAGATAAAGCGGCCACACCTTGCTAGCGCAGGACGAGTATTAAAAGAAGGAAATTACCGCGGAGTTTGTCATTAAGTTTATTAAATGCAATCATATTTCCGTGCTTTGCTGTGCAGCCGGTAATTTATTCAATTTATTATTCCTTTTAATAAATTTAATAATTTATCTTCCATGGGTTGAGTATAAATAAGTATTTTGTGTATTTATCAGATAAGCGTCTTCTATTTTATAATTCATTATTTTATACTTTGCATAAATAACACGTATATTTGCATCATTGCAAGAACATATAGGTACATTGAATATAATCATTTACGGAACACGAAGTACAAACAACATGTTGTCGCATGTCGGTATATTAATTTTTTGCCGACTTATAAATTGCGTTTTATAAATTTGATGTGCATATACTGTTTATGAATAAATGCGATGTATGTTTGTGCATGCGTATCGAGGAGTAAAGTCAACGATATTTGTTTTTTTTTATATAAGGAAGATCGTTAAATTGTAAAATTACATAACTCATTCATCGATGCATTATGTGAATATTATTAATGTGCTAATTATTTTTATCCCCTTTTTTTTTATCAGAGAATATTGAAGCAAACACACGTAAACACGCAATACACAAGCAAATGCTTACACAAAAAAATTCAATAATAAAGTCAACGATGTTAGAAATGTTTTTTCCCCCCGATTGTTTCTACTTCTCGTGGCAGTCACGCACGTGGTGAAGTCGCATCGACATGCAAATCGCCCCATTTAGGTGGATATTCGAGGCGTTTCTGTCCTTTTTTTTTCTTCTATAAGCGTCATACTCACGGTGATTCGGCACGGCGCATTAAACCAGGCTCCCATTTACCGTAATTTACCGACGATTCCTCGCGAACGGTTATAACCATAGTAGGGAGAAGTTCCGAAAGCGTTTCCGGCCTTCCGCATCAAAGCACGACTGTAAGCTTCACACGTACCGTACGTAATCGTTTCTTCTCTTCCAGCTTGTTTCCATTAAACGGCACAATTTTTTATTTTTATTTTATTGAAAAACTTAATTATACGAACTGAATATATGAATAACGACAATTGACTTTTGAAATTATCTTTCTGGAAAATTTCACAATGAAAAAATTTCTTACACACGTTGATTTCAAATTAAAATGTTTCACGCATTAATCAGCGCTGCGTTTTTAGATAAATTTTTCTCTCAACGCGCTGGCTGTCGATGTTTAACGTTGTCGATTCTTTATAAAATATGTCTTATAATATTGTATTTATATATATATATTATAAGATTGCAAAATTATTATTAAAAAATAGAACCAACATGTATGACGCATTACCAAAAACAAACAGAATATTTTAATGATATTGTAAAATATTTCATGATTAAAAATCTTTTAATGACGAAAATGTCAAACGGTCTGAACAGAAAATCCAGCGTGGGTCAGCGGCGGCCCACGCGACATGAAATATGTTTAGTGAGAGAAATCTTTTCTTTTCTAAATTGTGTGGTGATCTAATGTACTATGGTAAATATTTTGCTTATATACAGTATCTAAATAAAGAATATTTATATACAATAATTATTATATACAATTTAATAAAATAATCGTTAAAATACATTATTTACTAAATATTGCGCAACACTGAAACTGGGAAAATAATTTTGAAATTGGCAACTTATTGCAGTAAAATTTTTAAGCGTATATCACAATAATTTGAACTATATAACTAATTGCTATATTCATGAACAGAAGAAAGCACACACTTATGTTGCTTTTTGCTGCACGATGCTAAAAATAGAAGTAAGGAAACCGCGTAAGGGAGAAGAAACGCGAGAAACAAATTGAAAGGTGCAAAAGATGCGACTAAATAACTGGCTGTTTCTTAAGAATACACCGGAGACATTATGCACATAATACCTCCATTCGTTCGCGGTTTCCACTTGCTTCCGTTCATCTCGCCATCGGGCCCATCGACGATGCTTGGATGGCCTTCTGTCGCATTACCGCGAAATGCTATTAAACTACCGTTATCTAGGCAATAAGGACCACCACGGTTAGGGCGTGTATAATGGCGAGCGCGTCACAAAGCGCGCATTATCGCACGTGCCGCGATTTGACACGCCGGCTAAATGCGAATTGCCAATTAGCGGTCGTCAGTAAATAAGCGTTTGCGCGCCGTTAAGGTGTCTTTTGGCCGTTTTTCGCGACGTCAGTTGCCTTCCGTCGCTGTGAAAACGTGAGATGCTTCTACGACATGCTTTAGGAAAATTATGCCATTTTTATTAAAACTTTTATGTTAATATGATTAATTGTATTTTTATTATTTTTTTTTGTCAACACATAATTTTATTATCTGAATTTTTGTCTTTAACGAAAAAATTGTTGGCTTAACTATTTATTCATTTATTTGTTCTACAAAGATTAATGCAGTGGGAGAAAACATTCCGGATTCTAATTATGCTATTACATGTTCCGCGATCATTTATATTCCACTTGAAATTCTACTAATAGCACGATTCCATGTTTGCTGCGAAATGAGCCAAACACATTTAAGCTGGGAAAAATTTCAGATGTTGAAGAATTGAAGACAATTAATAAAATGAGGGAAATTATAAGAATTCCAAATTGCTCTAAGTGCAATATTTATTGATGTTTCAATATTATGCCAGTTAATTTTGTTTTATTTATTTCATTTCTAAATATATAATGAATAGAGGTAATATATTATTCATATATTTTCTTCTTTGATATCTTTTATTTAGTTTGCTACTTAATTTTTTTACCTGTAGAATAGTTATGTAATTGTGATTAAAATGAAAGAATGTATTCATAATCAAAATTTTTATTTGCAAAAATGAGAAAAAAGAAGCTTATTAATGAGAAAAATTAGACAAAATTAATAAATTTATAACATACAGAGTGAATATAAAATTCTGTCACAAGACTTGCAGATGTATCTTACATTTAAAAATTAACAAAGTAGTTCCAATTGACATAGATTCTAAAACTACTATTTTTTGAGATACAATCACTTTTAGTTATAGCGTGAATTATACGTGAGACTTAAAATTGATGTAGAAAATAGAACAAATATAAAGGAATCTTGTCAACTTTATATCTGATCTTCCATCACTTCACGTAAACTTGTGTAGTCAAAAGATCAGTTTATCAGATCTGTAAGTAAATAAAGTTGTTTCTGTGTATTTTTTTACAAGAGGAACTTTAACGATAGTTTTCATAAAGATATACCAAGGGCTATGAAGTAACTTTACCTCAGAAGATAATAATTTTAGAATATATGTTTGTTAGAATTTTTTTATTAATTTTGAGTATAAGAATATACTTGCACATTTTGTAAAATAATTTGTATTAATTATTGAATTTAATATGATAAAACGTAAACGTATATGATAAATTTTTAAATTAGATTTGATTTTTTAAGGCTAAATTGCGCGCGTGTAGCGTTCCAGTTGAAATAAAATTACAATTTACGTATTCATGTTTTTCGTACTTCACTAATTCTCGCGAGAAGCGATACAAACGACAATATGATGATGCTGGTAAATTGACGTCGCGTCCGATACAATTCCGATCACTTCGACATAGGTTAGTCTCGTGTTGATTTAGTCGAACGAGCAGATAACCCATTATCTGTCAAAGTAGCGAAGAGCTGCTGGCCGAGGCACTCCGTCAAAGTGACGTATTAATCCGATTAATTCCACGTGCCAGGATGGCCAATCGTCAACGTGAGAGTGAACTTTCGTGTGATAATTAACACTCAAGTACTTGCCTTGGTGTCAAATCGATCGATTTTAGCGCAATATTCCACGCGTGTTCAACGACTTCGTTTTATTTTCGCTTAAGGGAGCTAATTTTGAAATGTTTCTAAATATAATATTGTATAAAAAAGAAGCACATTTCGTTAAGAGCAATAATTTTTAAATAATAAAATTAATGGTCATTGTAAGATTGGCAAAAAATAATCGATATTTATTTAATTAGTGAACAATTACTGATTTTTCTAATTCTGTTTTTTGAAAACTATTTTCTTTAATAAAATCACTTACGTCCTATTTTACTCCGCGGCGATCTGCGTTGCGTGCATTTAAACTAATTGCTACCGCTATAAAATTAATATTATTATAGATATTAAATTACCGAAAACTCACTCTCAATATTATCGTCGGAAATTAATGAAGAGAGATTATAACCCATCATTTTATAAATTACAGCGACGTGACAGTCTCGTCGAGCGTTCGTGAGTGGCTACGCTCGCCAGCTTTCGACGCGCGACAGTGGGAAGACGAAGAGCTGCTGCTGATGTTGCAGACGATGTTCGTCGATCTCGACCTACCTCAAAAGTTCAACATTCCTTTGCCGATCTTGAGGAACTTCCTCTACGAGGTCTATAATAATTACAACGAGGTGCCGTTTCACAATTTCAGGCACTGCTTCTGCGTGGCGCAAATGGTGAATATCTCTCCCTCTTGTCCTAATATTATTTTAATTTTAATAATTCTTTGAGTAAAACAAATTAAAACAGATAGTGTTATTATTAATAACAATTCGTTTTAATATTATGACAACGTGATAACTACAGAATATTCTCTTAAAATAAGAAAAAACATAAATTTTAATATCAAATATTAAGTGCGGACAATTGCACTTGTTAAATCTTAGCTTTGTTATCGAGTTTCTAATTTTTGATCAAAGAATTTTATTTTTGTTGTTAAATTTAAAATATAAATATTTTATCAGAGAAGTTTTAAAAATAATTTTAATTAAAAATTAGCCTTAGATGCACTGACAAAGTATTTTCAAATTACTTTGTATAGTGATATTGCGAATCTGAATATGATAAATATTAATAGTGTTATTATTATCATTATAAGGAAGACTAGCCACAGCTTGATTATAAAACACTCGCATTAGAATTATCGGAAAGTAACAACCGCTTATTGTACATATGTAAGAAAAATTAAATAGTCGAGAAAAAATTTGTTATTTGCGCAAGAATACAGGAATGTCATTGATAAAGATCTTTGTTCACCTGTTTTGTAATGAAATCCGGTTCAAGAAAAAAAGTGTTATGTTTTTTATGCACTTTTTCTGTGTACACGATAAACGACATTACTCTCTGGTATCTCTAATAATGTAGCATAAAATATCGCTTTAGCGGTGATTAATATAATTGTATCAAGCTGCAACTTAATTATTTCCTGATTGTTTATAATGAGTGCGTTACATTGTACAGTAGTTATATGAAGGTTATCTGATAAGTAAAGATGCTTATTTAAAAAAAAATATAAAAAAATACAACAAACTCCTGATGATTGCTTTTTCACACAGTTACCGTATCAAGTATAACTGCAATTTTGCTTATTGTTAGTCGAACTTCCACTTATTCAATCTATTTTAAGAGTTTCTGTGGTCTATTCACGAATTTTTTGTTAGAATATTTTATTTTAAACAATTCTCTTAAATATTCTATTATTCTTAATAATTCTATTTAAAAATGTTTTAAAATAAAATATTCTTAAATATAATATTTAAATAAAAAATTCTTAAATTGAAACTACAAAAAGAAACTCTCAAAATAAATTGAAGATAGAGTGAAAAAAGAATAGGTGAAAAATTGAATAGACGACGAGAAACTGAAGATTATAGTTTTGCATAAAATCATTGAACTTTGAACATGAAATTTATTATGAAAGAATCTTTAAACTCGCGAAAACGATAGAATGAATGTTTCAATTATTACAGTAATTGCGTAGAAAAATTAATGTTAATTAAAAAGTTTATTGCTGTATTCTTTTATACTTTTCTACATATCACTCTCTAATTTTTACATGCACCACAATACTTATCGGACGATCATAAATTATCAATTTATCTCATGAATTGTTCCCGCTCAGATGTACGCGATAGCTTGGGCGGTGGATCTCCCGTCGAAAATCGGCGACCTCGAGGTCCTCGTACTGATCGTCTCCTGCATCTGCCACGACCTGGATCATCCGGGCTACAACAATATCTACCAGATAAACGCGCGGACCGAGCTGGCGCTGCGTTACAACGACATCTCGCCTCTGGAGAACCATCACTGTTCGGTGGCGTTTCGGGTGCTGGAGGCGCCGGAGTGCAACATCCTCGCATCCCTTGACAATCCCACGTACAGAATAGTGCGCGAGGGCATCATCAGGTGCATCCTGGCCACCGACATGGCCCGGCACAACGAGATTCTCGGCCAGTTCACCGACACCATTCCCGAATTCGATTACACCAGCAAGGCGCACATAAATCTGGTAATTCGCCGACGATATTTGATTAATGGCCAACTATTGATAACCGTTAAATAATGCAATTGTTAACGCTTGACTTTTGATTACGTTTCGCAGCTGTCCATGATTCTGATCAAGGTGGCCGACATAAGCAACGAGGCGCGGCCGATGGAGGTTGCGGAACCGTGGCTGGATCGGCTGCTGCAGGAGTTCTTCAAGCAGAGCGATGCGGAGAAGCTCGAAGGTCTTCCGGTAACTCCCTTCATGGATCGCGACAAAGTGACCAAACCGTCGTCCCAGGTTAGCTTCATCGGCCTAGTTCTCCTCCCTCTCTTCGAAGCTCTCGGCGAACTTCTACCCGAGTTGCAGGTGATTTTTCGATTCAACTTATGCATCGACTGATTCATTCATGCTTGCGCTAAAATAATTAATTCAAGTAAAATTTCACTTTCCAGGATCTCATAGTTCAACCAGTCAGGGAAGCTCTCGAGTACTATCGCAGACTGAACGAGGCGGCCAAGGACGAGCGTCATCATCGGAAGAGTGTGGTGGACGTTGGGGAATCGGCGCCACCCAACGCGCTAAGCGGAGGTATTATTAGTTCGTCCGCCGTCATTAAATCCACGTCGTCGCACAGCATGCGCTCGAAAAGATCCGCTTGCACGATCCACTCGCGCTCGCGCTCCACCGACGACGACATCACGGATAACCTGACCATGGAAGACGCGGAGAACGTCGAGAGTTCCGATCCAGAGACCGCGACGGAGGTGGAAGTCAGCGAGAAGACACTCAAGTTCAAAATCTCTACGGAAGGCACGCTAGCCGGTACGACCGGTGGTCGGAAAAGCTATCCCGGCAGTCGGAAAGGCAGCCGGGAGAAGTCCTCGTTGGATTATCACAATCACGACCTGGCCAAGGCTGTCCGGGATCACGAGTGCGAGAGGAGACGCAGCCGAGGTGAGAATCTCGGCAGCGACTTGAGCTCGCCGGCCAGTGCGAGATCCGCCGAAGGTACGCGAATCGTCGAGGAGATAGAAAAGGAAGAGATGGTTTTTTTAGATGTTGTCAAAATTGAAGGCAAAACGCCTGAGGGAAACGGGAACGTCGTCGTAGCGGAGGCCCGCTCGCAACCGAGAAACAATGTGAGGAAGACCAGCAGCGTCATAGAAAACGATCCGGAGAGTAGATCTAATCGTAGAGACGCGCACAGCAGTCAAGAATCGGTCGGTCTGCGATGTTGCTGCGACGACAAAACCGGGCCCAACAATCACAAATCCATATTCTCGCGACTCAGAAACCTTACGGACCGTCTGAGCATCAGCTTCGACTCCAAGGAGTCACCCACTCCGAAACCGAAGCACACGAAGATGCTCAGCAAGAGCAACTCGGTGAGTAGCAGCTCGGCCACCTCGTCAAGGCACCACACTTCCCTCTTCATCTGCAAACGCTGCAATCTCACCAAAGACAGCACCAAGATCGCGACCGTAGTGGAGCTATCGTCGGTCGACAAACGGGCGATGACTCTGCCCAAGGTTCGCAAGTCCACGGACTGTAAGAACAAAAGTTGGCGAACAGTATTTGCCAAGGAGAAGAGGTCGTCCACTTCCCTGGAAGCCTTACCGGCAGCCAGTTCCGGCGGCTCGTACTCCAAGCACCGCAGAAATCTCTCAAATCCCGAGGGCAAGTCGCAGAGTATGAAGGAGATGAAAACCCGGCAGCGTTTGGATATTGAGTTTCGGGAGATCGAGGTGCGCCCAAAGAAGCATCAGCAGCAACCTGAAATCATAGTTAATCCGGACGATAGCGTTTGCGACATCGAGGAGGATCTCGGCAAAGTGGAAATCAGGAGAAGCTCAGCTAGCATGGAGGACATCTCCAAGATGGCAAAGCAGGCGGAGGCTGTTATATTAGGCGCGCTGGATCCGAAGAAAGCGGAAGAGCGTCCTCATACCGGCAGCCTGGATTCGATGCTCTGCAAAGAGGTATGCAAGTCGCGAAAAAAGCATCCCGCGTTCTCCTCGCCCGCAACGACAAAGAAATCGTCGCCCGGTCTATTCTCGCGCTTCAAATCCGGTATGAGTATCGACAGCACCCGCAGTAATAGCAACAGCGATTCTCTGCACGATCACGGTTCGCAAAGCGGCTGGATATCCTCGTTGACGGCCAGTTTCCGGCCGAAGAGGCATCCGAACGAGACGCCTTTATCGCCGCATCCACCGAGATCGCCCAGCAGAGAAGAGATCAAGTGATACGTTCTAGTGGTCGAGGATTCCTCCGAGAAGAAGCTTGGCCTCCGCGGCTGGTGGCCCGAGAACTTGTTCTGCTGCAACAGCTAAGACTCGAGCGAAAGAGTCTTATCTCCAAAGAGGCTAATTTAGATCCAGAATTATTTGGAAATATCGCTACACGAAAAACGTTTGAAAAAGAGATTCAATTTTCTAACTTTCTAAAATCATTTGTGTTTTTCCGTCGCAGTATTAATTACCGATATCGATTAATAGACGCGATAGATCGAAAGCAGTCAATTCGAACGAACACATTTACTCGAGCAAGAATTATTAAGAAGATGTTAGATATGATTTCCGATTGGATTGTATTCTTCTTGATTGAACTCTTTTTGCGGAGGAATCTTCATAGGACCATAATTTTCTGTCATTGACTGAGTGTTTTATGACGATCGCAAGAATCGAGATATGTTTATTCGCGAGGGACACTTACGGCCTGCGGGAAAAACGAGGAAATACGCTATAGACTATTTTATTTATTGTCCAATTAAAGAATAGCCTAATGAGTAATCATTAATGTTGTTCGTTGCTATACATATATACATATATATAAATATACAAATGCAGATGTATACAAAGACGCAAGGATATACACATCTCCATCGAGACACGAATGTGCATATATATATATATATATATATAATAATATATATATATATATATATATATATATATAAATAAAATATATATAAAAAAAAATCTATAGTGTATACACAAGCATAATAGGAGCATAAGTGGATAAATATAAGTATGAGACAAACAAGAAGAAGAAGACAAACAAGTAAATAAATAAGCGTGGCTCTGTCGTATCGATGTTGAGTTTCAGGAATTGTGTAAACGTTGAGGATATGAAAGGTAAGAGAATATATTATCATACTATTTTTAAAATATTCTGAGAACATTTCTGTTCTGCAGATAATATTTCTCAGAGTTTACTAGGAATATTACAATTTTTCGAAAATGCGTGGTTATTCTGAGGCATATGATTATTGTGAGATACTCTCGCTCCTCTAAAAAGCAGAGCTTCAGAATATTCTCATAGAATTAGTAGTTGCCACGGCGAAAGGAGAAAATTGAGGGAGATTTGTCGAAATAATTATGCTTTATTACTGCATATTTGTCGAAACGATTCACATGGTAGAAAATCTTGTTGATTCATCGATAGTTAGGAGAACACACGGAGAAAATACGTCACAGATTTATCTCTTATCTAGTCGCACTACTAAAATGGAAATTCAACTTGGAAAATTATTTGTTAAACTTTTAAGTAGGAAATTAATTCGATTAGAAAGGAACAATTTGTTTGAAATTTCTCGAACAGATCAGCAAAGCCTTTGCCAAATATTCTCAGCGTTTTTCTCTGAACATAAAACTGTAAAAAAAGAACATAATTTCAAGAAAAAAAAAAAAAAAAAGAAAAACGTAGTCTTTTAGAAACGGTTCCCTTTTCGATGAAATATCTCCTGCGATTATTTGATTCAAAAACATATTCAGATGTAATTTCGAATTTTCGATACACTTATGACCTATACACACACACACATGCACGTGCATGAACACACTCGCAAACGCGATTAGTTTTGTACGACGTCCCGCTTTTCATTTTCAGATGTTTATATTTTTATACTTCATCAACTGCGTCTGCGTTAAAAACCGCATGTATTGTTGAACTCTAGTCTTGCGTTATTGTCCTCAGATCAACCAAAAGTTGGTTTCGGGCGCGTATTATTTTGCGCGACGGTTTCGCTAGGGGAAACTCGATGTGTACGCGCGAGCGAGCGGACGATTCTGTGTCAATTACGTGACTGATTATTTAGCAAACAATTATTTTTATCTTCCTCTTTCTCTCTTTTTCTCTCTCTCTCTCTCTCTCTCTCTCTCTCTCTCTTTCTTTGTGCGGTAGAATCAGCATTCGTCGATCAAACCAAATGGAATTAGTTTGCACGATAACACGAATAGAAAAATGCTTACGCGTAAAGTCGTGAAGTAGATAATTTTGACAAATTTTATGTAGAAAGGAATAAAGATGTTTTCTCAATTTTTTATTCGGCAAGTAATAAAGGTTAATTATGTTAAACAATAAATTTCTTATATTATTCAATTAATCTAATTTTTAATTTCAAGGAAATCCAATTTTTAATTTCAAGAAAATAAAATTAATTTTAAGGGAATAATTATATTTCCTCGAAATTAAAAATTAGATTTTCTTGAAATTAAAAATTAGATTGATATATTTGTTTTCTTAGATAGAAACAAACTGTTGTCAAAAAAATATAAGAAAGATATATAAGGAAAAAGAAAATAGAACGAATGAAAAAGCGCAACTATGTTCGCGAGCGGGAGAGTGGTGCCAGTCTACGTAGCGACATATATTCAATAATAAATGATTAAATCCTTCGCGATGTGAATGAAAGAAAGCATTTGATTTTGACTCTCGAGTCAAGACCACTATTAAATAATCACAAAAAAAAAAAAAAAAAAGGAAAATCTCTTGTATGAGGATTCTGATTTTAGTAACATTTTACTACTTTATTGTACGCTATATCTCAACAGATAAATGTGAGAAAATTAATAACAATAATAATGAAATTAACAATGATGAAGATTATTGTTCCCTAAAAAGCATGAAAAATGAATACTTTTAAATTTTATCGACATCTCTCATACAAAAAATGTTAGAATATATTACAAATTATAGTAATGTTAATGAGAGCAAATCAAACTGTTATGAGAACTGTTAATGAGAAATAAAGTGATATGTTCTTTATCAAATTATATAGACACTTGAATTGAATAATCAAGTATTTGTTAAAAAATTTATATCACGACCAAAGTAGACGTTCCTATAAGATGATTCTACTTTATATTCTAGAAAAAAATCAAATGCACTTTCTTTTCTTTCGTATCGCTCACTCTCTGTGCCTGATCGTCACTAATATTCAAGACTGACATTGGAAAAAGGTACCCAAATAGCTAATTGTTTTTTAAACTTTTTAATGCTGCAAGCCAACCAAAACAACGAAACATATCCAACTTCTCAATTTTGATCCTTTAAAAAGACACGGAAACGCTAACTATTTAAAATAATTGTGATTATTGTGATTGTTAAACTTTGCTGTATAAATATAAAAATCTATTACAGAAATATTAGTGTTTCTTTGTAAAGCGTTCAATATCAACATGTTAAACTCAACAATACGGCGTTCGGGTACTTTTCTCCAAAACTAGTCATATTTCTTACCTACTATTTCTTGGCTATTTATCAAAATCTCAATAAAGAGTGATCAATTTTTAACAATCTTGCAAAAAATTTTGCAAGGACTAAGTTAATTCGAGTTTCATAAAACCAGGAAAAAATTTTTTGCAAGATTGTTGAAACGTTGATCTTTATTTCTCCAATATCTAACAATAAAAGAAATACGTGATAAAAGATTAAATAAAATATAAAATAAAAAAAATACATATGGGCCAATCAAGCCGTAGTATACGGCACTGTTTTACTCAATTGAATTTTTATCAATTGAATTTTTAATCTTATTAGGATTTTCCTCATATTTCCAATTGTTGTCGTCAATTATTGGGATACAATACATTCAAACTCGTTCGCATAAATCTACTTCCGCCTCCACTCTCATGCTAGCAATCAAAGACGGATAACTGGTGTTTGCTACGCTTTATTCAATATTGTTTTTCATTAAAATTATTGATTTGCACTGTATATGACAAATATACAACGTTGTGGTAAATATATGTTTAATTAAAGTTACCAGATATTTAAAATTAATTTTAAAAATAAGATACGAGAAGATATGGAAGAAAATTTGCCTTGCTTCTAGAGGGATTAAAAAAAAAATTGCCTTGTATGTTAAATGGATGAAACAGCTTGATGTTGACAAGAAATAAATTTGGTTGGCGGAGCAATCATTAAATATACTTTTACATTTGTTGTAAATTGAAAAATTGCGGTATGTCAAGAAAGTTATGTGTGCGCTATGTAAAGGTGTTTTAATTTACTATAGTAGCATTATTAGATTCTTTATTTAGAACTTTAAATTGAACAATGGGGTGTTAAATAATTACTGAACGTACTGATTGTCACAATGACATACGAGATGTTCGTGAAAATAGAACGAAATTTTGATGTACATTTAAGTAAAAGCCGGCTACAAATTATCACGATGCAGAATGCTTTAATAACATTTTCAAGAACTGTGACTAATGTCGTTTTCGAATCAAACGGTTTGTGTATTCTAGCGACTTCGAATTCTAGTATGAAGTTTCTCGATGTATGTTCTTCGTGAACTCGAATAAGTCAGATCGCGGTGGACGATTTTCGTGTTTGTGAGGTCTGTTTTCCGTCTCTCGCCGTCCCTTCCTCACGAGCCGTTAAAATTAAGTCGCTGGTCGCCAAGAGGGGAAAGAAATCAATCGTGATTGTTGCATTATTGGGTGAATATCAGTTGCGTGAAATTTATGCGTACGACGATAATTCGAATGCACGCAATAATCTCTCGCATATGCATACAGACATACGCCTGTATTTATATGTATATAAGGATAATGCGCGCGATAGAGGTGGGACATCTTGTATATATCTGCATGTGTATATGTGTGTTGACGTGCATATACACACATACATACATACATATATACATATAAATGAACAAAAGTAATTATATAAATAAACAAATAAATATATATTTACTTGATATATATATGAAGAACTAAGAGGAAGAACAAAAGCACAGTTAATGCTCGCGGGCGAGTTACTAGCGCGATATTAAAATATTATTATCGATATTATGATATTACGGTATTGTGTGTGGACGAAAAGTGTGTATAGTTCTGTGTGTAAAAGTATTCGTGAAAATCCCGCATGCGTTGCGGTGCGGAGATGTACTGATTTTATTGCTGTTCAGTGATGGCGTAATTTATTTTCTCCGCGATCACGTTTGGGGCTGGCTTTCTTTCGCTACTAATGCAAAATAATATTTTGAGCGAAATTTAATGTCAATTATATCGATCGGAAATATTTACGTCGCGATCAGAATAATTCAATTTGACGCATTTCTTTTATTGCAATGAAGTTTTAATTAAGATTGGTGTTGCAATTTTGATATCGAATACGAGCTAAAAATTACTGCGTAATAACGTTTTTATGTCCTCTATTTAATGTTTATTGATATTTTAATGTTTATTGATTTCGATATTTGACAATATTTTAGAAAAATGTAACAAAAGTATTAGCGCTGTAATAATTAATGTACGTTGTTGTAATACATAGTGATCAGTGTACGTCAATCGATAATAGATATCAGTGTTTATTATTCTGATCGCAAGCGTATTGATGAGGAAAAGCAGACTAGTTCTTTCGGCCTTATCAGTTTCTAGATTTTTTCACATAATTCTTTCGATCTTATCGAGTCACATATATAGGCATTCTTTATGAAAACAGGATCGGAAGGATTAAATTGAAAATAAAAAATTATGATTATCGCGATTGATGCGAGTGCGCATTAGTTGTATTGCGAGTTGAAATCGTCGCGACCGTAATGCAAAGCTCACCGTCACTGAACAAAACGCACGCGAGGACGGGTATACACATAGGATACTATCGATATGTGGTATCTCTATCATTCCATTCGATTCCAAGATGTCGTAGTTATATATTATAGAAGTATAATTTTAAGTAATCCACGTGATCGATCGCCCGACGAGTAGCTCGCTCACGCGGTCGATCGTTAGTCTTTTTGTAAATGAGAGAATAAGTGAATGAAAATAAATATATATACATATACATGTACATATGTATGCATATATACATGTATATATCTATATGTAAATATACATATATAAAATGTATATGTCATCACGACGAGTGACCGGCTGCTCATGGCTGCCCCGTATATATATATATATACTTAGAATGTCGACGAATAAAGGAAAAATGATTATTCTGCCGGGGACGAATAGAACTGTTTACAAAAAATCCCTCCTATATCACTTTTCATAATTAATGACAGCTGTAGAATTAGATCGTGGAGGTGAGTAAAACCAGTCGTTAAATTTAATTTTTATTTCTCGTTTTTATAGCTCGTGTGTATATGTCGATAAACATTTTGAAATTTGTTATGCTTCGTTGTTTTATTATGTATCTAAAATGCCGGATAAGTTACATTTTTTTCTTACAAAAAGCAATAAATCAAATTTTAACTACTTAGTAATCATTGAACTTAATGATATTTATTGAACTTAGATAATAGAACTACTTTTTACTGTCATAGATATATGAATGAATCTCTTGATTATGAAATACCGAATTTTACATGTTAGATATATA